AAGGAGAGAAAAATAGGCTTCCCACTGGGGAGCAAGACCTGGGCAGTCACAGGGGACAAAGCGTTGCACCTTGACTCCAGAAAGCGACATGTTTATCCTCCAGAGAAGGCATATAAGAAGGGTTCTCTTTGGCTCCATTGCGCCCATGATATTATTCTTCTGGAATAATACTAAGCGTGCTGGAAGCCCACTTGAGCAAACTCCGTAGATGTAAGCTGTACTGTCAGGAAGAGGTTTTTATTTCTCAGTAACCATGCTGATCTGGCCTTAGGAACACACCATGATAAAAGGAAGAAAGCAAAATTTTGACCAGAACAGGATTCTCTTGGTTTTGCAAGGAGTACAGCCCAAATCACTTGACAAATCACATACGACTCAGGGGGCTGGAGTATAACAGTTCAGCAATATTTTGAAATTAAACAAGCAGTTTCATCATTCCCATTAATATTGTAGTACAGTGGTGCCTCGCACAACGGGTGCCTCACACAACGATGAATTCACACAACGACGCCTTTTTCTGTTAAATTTGCCGCCTCACACAGCGATGTTTCCTATGGGGGATTTTCACACAACGATCTCCCTTTTTGCTCCTGTAAAAGTGTCTTACAATGTTTGGAAGCCGTTTTAAATGATTGCAATGGTTAGCCCACCTCCTGAAACCTATGCAAACTGATTTTGGTGTTGTTCTGACACTTCATTAATTTATGATGATTTTTTGAATTTTCTCCATTGGAAACCATTGGATGGTCTGTCTAATGGTTTCCAATGGAGAAAACAAAAAATCATCATAAATTAACGAAGTGTCAGAAGAACACCAAAATCAGTTTGCATAGGTTTCAGGAGGTGGGCTAACCATTGTAAGCATTTAAAACGGCTTCCAAACATTGTAAGACACTTTTACAGGAGCAAAAAGGGAGATCGTTGTGTGAAAATCCCCCATAGGAAACATCGCTGTGTGAGGCGGCAAATTTAACAGAAAAAGGCATCGTTGTGTGAATTCATCGTTGTGTGAGGCACTCGTTGTGCGAGGCACCACTGTACTTGAAAATATAATTAATTGAATGGGTGAGGCCTACTGTGACACTCTGGAAATTCTTTTTAAAAAGAGATGTGATCCAAATAAAACATTCATTCATTATAAAACCTTTTTCCCCCTTCAGCCCTTGAAAATGTGTAAAATATATGATGTGGCCTTCATACTGGAAAGTTTGGAGACCCCTGCATTACAGTGATACAGAACTTTAAAGGTGCAACTGAGAGAAATTCAAAAATGAGAACAAAAATATTTTGAAACATTCATTTGAACTGCTGCTTAAATTGAGCATACTATTACCGAAGAATAGCCCTACATTTGAGGAATTCCAGTATCACATGCAGTAGTGTGCTCTAGCACATTATGCTACTAGGTGACAGTATTCGACAGCTGTTTGCATTTGTGTGTGTACATTTGCTTTTAGAAAACAAATACTACTTTAAAATTAGACAAGCAAAAGCATAATTGGCTTTGCATACTCTAAATCAACATCTAGAAGCCTGGAGCCTCCCCATACCCATCCCTGGAACATGGAGGCCTGAGCCAACTCCTATGATGCTCTGTTATGTCCTAAAATATTTTCAAAATTATATTGAAAAAAGCTCTTTCATCCCCTCTAGTCACCATTAGGAGTATTTTCATCCTGTTTTATGCTTCCCCTCAACTGTTTTAGGACTAAGGGATGCCTCATCTCAGAAAAGAAGTGACGTCTGTTTTTGGAAAAAGAGCTCACCCCCCCCCCCAAAAAAAACACCACCTAACAGCCTAGAGGGCAAAGCATGACTAAATAGACACCTCTGTTCCTTAGCTCGTGAGGAGGGCCTTCATGGGCCAGAGAAGATACAGAAAGATGCTGAGGGGCTGGGAGTACTGGCAGGGCTTTATTTGGGCTTCTGGGCTCTCATGCAGCTGGTTGGATAGCTCAATAGTTTTATGTATACGGCTATGGAGCCAGAGGTTGGGCGTCTGATTCCCCACTATTCCTCCTGTGAGTAGAGCCAGCCTGTGTTGCCTTGGGCAAGCTGCACAGTCCCAAGGTGCCCCCAGAAGAAGGGAATGGTAAACCATGTCTAGGTACTGTCTAACTAAAAAACTCTGAAAAGGGGTGGTATAAGTAAGAATTGACTTGATAGCACACAAATACGTATAAGTCTGACTTAAAGCAGTGCCCATAAGAGACAGGAAAGTATCTGGAAGTTACAGCAAAAGTCAAGCTCAGTGGGGAGAAGCGGAGATGCTTATGACAAGACTGGAACGGTGCTCACCTGGAAGGCTTTGTGGCCTGAGACAAGCTGAGCTCCCTGCAAGTACCAGGGCAACTTTCTGTTCTAACAAGCAGGCAGAGAAGTCTGGGATTTGGAGTAAAACAAGAAGAAATGGTGCATGCTTAGAAGTAGAATGAAATGTGTGGTTTAGACTATGGGCGTCCACATCATCTTAGAGCAACTGCTTTTATATGGGATCAGCAACCCAAAACCACACCAAATTTTATTCAAGTACAGTGGTGCCCTGCTAGACGCTTACCCCGCATGTCGTCGAAATCGCTTGACAATGACTTTTTTGCGATTGCTATTGCGATCGCAAAATGATGGTTCCTATGGGGGAAATCCGGTTTACGATGATTAAGTCCCTGCTTCGTGAACCGTTTGATCACAAAACAATGATTTTTCCGGCTCCGCAAAATGGCTTCCCTTTGCAAAATGGCTTCTCTCCCTTCGCAAAATGGCTGTTTTCCGGACAGAAGCTTCAGAAGACAGTGATTTTAAACAGCTGATCGGCGGTTCTCTATGGGCGATCTTCGCTGGACAATGAGGTATTTCCCCATTGGAGCACATTAATCGGTTTTCAATTCATTCCAATGGTTTTTTTTTTTTGCATGACGACGATTTTGCTTAACAGCGATTTTAACAGAACGGATTATTGTCGGCATGCGGGGCACCACTGTACTATGAAAGCTGGCAACATCCAATTTCTTATAAAAGAAACATAGTTCATAAAATGTAGCAAATTGATGCTTTCTTCATTTAAAAATTGCCATGTGGTCTAATGGCTATTCGACTTCAGAGCATGAAGATGTGTAGATAAACCTCCAAGCTATGAAGACTGCTTTTGGGGAATGTCTCAAAACAGTATGTTGTGAGGTAATAGAATCATATGGTTAGGACTCTAGATATGAGCATTTCGCACCACAACATTTTGATGACTGTCATATTTACATAAACTAATAGTGGTCTCAGTTTTCTTAAGTGCCATTGTGGTCAAAATGACACCATCCGTGCAAAATGGGGAAGGTGACACCAAAAGCAATTTAATGAGGACTCAGCATGTTCAGTGCGGATGGACTGCCAACTATTGCAGAAGGTGAAAAGAAGAAAAAGTAATAGAATAGAACTGGATTGAGACATGTTCTCTGAGATGGGACAGCAATCATGTTATTTGGTGTCTGAGGGAGAATATCACACAAATACTTTACTTTTACTGGCAATAAAAATAAAGTAATATTTGGGCTAGTGTTTGAACAGAGTAGCAAAGATCCTAAGTAGACAGTCCTAATGTGAAATTTATAATACTTGTAATTTATCTGCTGATTTTTGGCTAAAGACCTTTAATCGTAATCAACTGCTCCCAGTTTCTTATGTTGTTCTACCTATAACTGCTGCTCACTCAAAACCTCAAACTAGAATAAACAGTAGAGTTGTCCTGGTATGTGGTTGTCTGGGTTCTGTTGAGATTTTAATCACAATACCCAGAGCCCATTCAGACCTCCAACTGGACTGGATTTCAAGTGTTAATTTTTAAAAAGTCACTAAACTTCATAGTGTTGCACAGTTTTTGAACTTCTGGTTAAACTCCTCTCGTTGCACAGCAGAAGTGCAGGGGATTCACAGAGCAAAATAGCCTCAAGTTTTCCAATTAGTCCACCTCATTTTCTCATTACCTGGCACTTACAATCTCAATGCTCAAAACTCTGAGCCATTAGTAAGAGAAAGAATAAAAACCATTTTCTTTGCTTACAGTGGAACAGATCGAACAGCAAAGCTAACAAACATGGCTGACTGAATTTCAGCAACAGGCCTCAACACTCGCTGACTTTCAACAGACTCTGGGGGCAAGGGAACCTCTGAAATGGTGCTCTCTTTGAATCAGAGACCGGGAAAGAACTATTGGTTAGTGCTCTTAGTGACTGACACTCACCCCAGTCCAGAAAGGTCCCTTCCAGACACACCTTCTAAAGGCAAGGTTGCAAAAACTCCAACCCATAGAATCACAGATATAAGGCAAAGTATGCAGTCACTGTTTTAGCCTATTCTCGGCTGCTGCCCCCAGACTATGGAATGCCCTCCGGACTGACATTCGTCTGGCGCCAACGTGGATGACATTTCGGCGCCAGGTCAAAACCTTTCTGTTCCAGAAGGCTTTTAATTGAAATAACATCAACTGTGGGTCCTGATGGCAATTTTAATTGTATTTTAATTGTATTTAACACCCCTCCAGTATGAAACTGTAGTTTGATGGAATACTGTTTTCTTCATGAAGACTAATCCACTCCCAATATTCCCAATTTGCAGATACTGGACTGTACAGAAAGGAATTAAATTTTAGAAAAGTGGCCGTGACAATATCAAGTATCTTACAGAGCAGAATAAAAACACTAGTACTGTACCTTAACACAATATTAGCATTTGAGGTGTCATGGACTCGACAGTGTTCAATATTTGCTGGCAATAATAAGCAAAGGTTTGGGTTTTCAGTTGGTTGCTATGCTGCAACTCCCGTGCTATTTAAGAGCGAGAGAAGACGACGAGGACTTATCCTGGACGACAACAGTAATCCACATAAGCCTCCGTGCATTGGGCAAACGAAGGAAGGGCGAAGGAAGGGTGAGCGGGAACCGCAGCTTTCGGGACGCCTTCTCCCTGAAAAGCCGCAGCGACCCCGCTACCTGGCCGTTCCCCCCTCCTCTCGCGAGACCCTCTGAGGAATGCCGGTGAGGGAGGGGGGAGTGTCGGGGCGCGGGTGTTCTCGCGATACTTCTTGGCCAAGGTTGGCGGTTGGCTGCTGAGGGATGAAGGCGAAGGGAGGCCGGGGCGGGATCGGAGCCGGGCAGTGGCCGGGCCCCCGCCGGCCGGACCGGGGGTGAGAAAGGGTTCCCCCTCCCTCCCTCCCTCCCTCGCCCCCGTCCCCGTCATGGAGGCTCCGCTGCCGCGGGAATCGCCGCGTCGTGCGCCGCAGACCCCACCGTCATCCCCGGG